CATGTTTGTGGTTTCCTCATTGTTTAATCTCTTCATCCACTGCATATACAAAAATAAAAAAATGGCAGAAAGAGCTGTAGCCAATTGGAAACAAACAAAAAATAAAAACAAAACAAAACAACAACAACAACAACAACAACAACAACAAAGTTTTATTGCCTAATTGAATGAATGAATTTAGTAAAGAGTTAGAAAAATGTCAGAGTCAAAGGTAAGTAATGAGGTAAAATATTTTAGGGGATAAATGAATGAAATAAGTTAAAACTAAATTATCAATGCTTAGTCTCTCTTTTTATAAATTTGTGAAATTTGTACTGTTTAGCAACTGGCGATTTTCAGAATATAATGATGTCAGATGGAGGTAGTACAAAAGAAATGTTTTGTACTAGTGTTTTATATTACATGGTTCTCAGTACCAAAATTTTCACTTGTATATTAATCTTCAAAAAATTAAAATTTGTCTTTTTACCATTACACACCTGAGGTGATTGGTCCTTCACATCCTCTGTATGTGCATATTGTTTTTCTGTTCTTTTATTGAATATTTAAAGAAACAGAACATCTAAGAAAGCCTCCTGTGGTTACTACTCTGTTCACTCTTCTCCCCCAGCACACTGTGATCACATTTGTGGCATGACTCTGATACTGCCAAACCAAATATCATTGTCTATATCTGAAGGTTATGCACAGCAAGCCTGTGCTATGCTCCCTTTTAAAATGCCAAAACTCAGTTTGTTTTTCATTTTCTTCTGTGTGGGCTCTGTAGATATCTATAACCAAATTAGCTCTACTGAGAACAGAGAATGTATATTACTGTTCAATAGTAAGTCAGCCTATATTTAGCATTCAATCTCTTCACGTGTGTCTTTAGGTCTATATTACTGATAAAAGGTTTGACTGATGATTTGAATTAAATAATGTTTCCAATCATAACCATTTGTTGAATCCAAAACTCAATTAACCTGCTGGCTAGTGTGTTTATTTGGTCCTCTGAATTCTAATGACAGAAAGCTCTCGTTTCAGTACTCTAATCTAAACAGAATCTCACTTGCCTAACCAGCAGTGGACAGTGCAAAGCAGCAGCACTGAGCAGAATATGCCTTTAGACTTAGTGATTCTCCTGCTTGCCTTGTGCCACATGTGTCTGAGCCAATCTCTCCCCTGCCTCTGCACACACTGTTTATCTCTGCCTCTCTGCCTGTCCATTCACATGTGGGCTTAAACTCCATTATGTGTGCGCTGGTGCATGTTTCCTGTGTATGGTAGGCACCTGCGCTCTCACCTGTCAGTCAAACTTTCACGGCAGGGCTTTTTGTAAAGGCAAGGTCACGGTGACTCCAAAAGCAGGTAAAGCCACTGCTGTGCTGTCCCTTTTTTCTGCCTCAAAGGATTCTCAGATGCCCACTGAGAGTTGGCCATTACTTTTATAGCGACAAGAAATACACAAGTTAACTGGAGATGAAAGGATGTCTCCAAGACTGCTTTCCTCTAGCAGGTATAAAGCCAGTGTGAACAGTGATCAATTTATGGGCAACAAGTAAACCACCTATTGCATTGTACCAGATTATCTGTGACAGGGCTCTTGGGGAAGAGTTTAAAGACCTCTATCTTCCAAGACAGCTCCAGCAATAAGGAAGGAGAATATATCCAGATTTGTTTACATAGATTTTAATCTCGCACTGCTGTAATGCTGGAATTGCTGAAATTGCCTTCACACAACCATATACTTTCACCATTCTGACATGTTAAAGTATACATTTAAGTCTGAATTTTGAATAGCCATGCTCTAAAAACAAATAACATGTTCAGGAAAAGTATCAAAATTACCTTGGAGAAAATGGACGCAATTCTCTTAAAGGTGCACTGTTGTGGTTTTTGAATGTTCCACATTCTGGCACAAAACTCATCTCTTTTCACAGAGAAAAGCAAGTCGGATCTGTGGATATTGGAGAGGCAAGCCCACTTACAGTATTTTGTTATTTTTCTCTGCACTAAAACACCTATAATTTAATAAATGCAATATAGGTTGTTTGAACCACGACCCATAATAATGTTAGCTAGGGCAGGGCAGTTTCATTAAAAAATCCCTTAAGGGGAAGAAGTATAAATCCTAGTCTTTCAGACCTGTACCATCAATTTGAAAATTACTTCTGGATGGAGGCTAAAATGTCTTGATTGCAAAAGCAGTGTCCAGATGACTACATTGCAAGATTTAGAACATTTTCATGGAGACAGTTAGGTGGCAGTCCTCTCACCATAAAAGTTACACCAGATCCTCCAAGACAGATCTCAACAACCTCCTTCATATTCTTGTTATGGAGAGTGACAAGCAAAAAGCAAAACCAAAGCCCTTCTTCTCACTAAGGAAAATATACACAATATTCCACCACAATTTCAGGTCAAGAAATATGGGGCTTTGTTGAGACTGGAACAAAAACAAGAAAATAAAGTTGATGCCAGCGATAACACCGGGTGATAAGTCCAGCAAACACTTTCCAAACACAGAAATACACCAACAGATGGTCTGAGTGCAGCAAACTCACCAAACTGTCTACCTAAGCAGATGTGTACACACTCACAAAGACACAAGGAGATGCAGTTTTCAAGAACTAGCACCAGGAAATACACCATAACCCGGGCAGAAATTGACATCAAGTAGCAATCAAACAGTTTTGTGTAAAAATGTGAAATGATTGAAGCAGAAGCTTGTGGCGAGCTTGTATGCGGGGCTGACTGAGGGTCCGATGTGTACCAAACTTGGATGTGGCCCATGTGAAGCACAGAGCAGTGGGGAGAGAGGGGAGGAGAGGGGAGCAGATGGGTCAGCCATCTGGTGGAGGGAGAGAAAGAGATGGATGAAAAGAAACAGAGAGGCTGAGCAATGGAGGGATGTTTGAGAAGTATGTTGTGAGTGTGAACATGTGCATCAGTGTGGCATATGCAGTGGGGTGGTCAGCTCTGGACCAGGGGCAACAGAACAGAGCACGAGTCATCAACATGCTCAACATGTTCAGCCTACAGCACACACAAACAAAGGAGTAGGGCTGATGGAAGCCCCAGTATCAGAACCTACCATACCCTGTCCAAATGGTTAAAGTCCCGACATGATACAAGCTCACATAGATTACACACAATGAACTGTCATTCTTTTCGTACTGTATGTTTTGTATTATATTCAGATGAAGTCTGTTTTATTTACCTACTTTTAATGCATGCCTTTATTTATTTTCTTTGATCATAATTTATTTTTACTATTATTTTTCATTGTTTTATGTTGCATAATTTTAAGTTAATGTGGTATTTTCCAATTTAGACAGATTTTTCGAAATGATTAGCATGACTAGCACATGCTGTTTTATTGTTTTAGTTGGTTACATTAAAGCACTGTATGCATTCGGAGTAGGGCCACAGTGGCTACGTGGCTTACAATCACAATTCACAGCAAGATGGTTTTGAGTTTGATCCCTGGGTTGCCCGGGCCTTTCTGTGCAAAGTTTGCATATTTTTTCCCACGTCTGGGTGGGTTTCCTCAGGCACACCGGATTTCTCCCATCAACCCAAAACATGCACAACAAGTCAAACCCGCCAGTTAAGGTACTCTTGAACATGCCTAGTGACAAAATCATCTAGATGGCACTGCACTGCGGTGCTCACTGCTCCTGAGGAGATGCCCATGTGGCATGAAGAATGGGTCAAATGCAGAGGACAAATTTTGCAACAAAGACAGTAAATTGTACCCTAACCATGTTCCAACCTTTTTACCATAGTTGGTACTTTTACTCTACCATAACCAACTAACTCTGAAACACTTGTGAATTGAGATCTTTAATTTTCTTTGAAAACTATATTTCAGCATTTTTGTACTCCAGAGCTTGCTTTTGCTTTGAACTATTCAATAAGAATTTCCGTCTTTAAAAAGAATTCTTGAGAAAACAACACAACTGCTTTCAATTCAGTATTATTTATTTCCACAGCCAGTAATTCTTTGTCTGAACATCTGAAATCTCCACAAACACAATATGGTACAATATTGCTTTCATGTTCTGAGAAAATAACTAATCCAATATAAACAAACACATGTCAAGTTTCAATTTCCAAAGCTGACAAATTAAGATTCAAAGAGATGTGATGAGCTCTTAGATGTAAGCTAAGCTATGACAAATATGTTCCAGATAATGACGTTGATGTTGAAAGAAGCCATATGAAAAGGAAGATAAAACCTGAGGAATGGATGGAAAAACAATAAAACACAATAAAATGACAAGACAGGCAGATGGGTTGAAAGACAGAGAAGACAAGACAGGAGGAGAGCCAAAAAGAGTGTGATGATGTAAAATGAAACACCAAAAAGTCTCGAAAGATCAAAGAAACCACCCTTTCCCAAAGTCGGTATGTCAGAAAATGGGGACCAATTTACTGTGGATGGCAGGAAGTCTGGGTCCCTCCTGTAAATTACCCTGTGTCTATCCTGAAACAATACCAGAGAACATAAAATGACTTTCCACTAAGATGGAGACTCAATTTCCACCTTTTTGCATTTCACTCACACATGACTCCTTCATCAAATGGGCTATTGCCATAATTGTTGTTAATATGCACACAGGTATAGGTGATTTATCATTGTTTCCAGCTAGCACGCCTCTGTGCATGTGCAGGTTGGAAAGAATTAAACGCCATATAATTGATGCAAACTTTATTTTTGCACTGCTTGGCTGCCTGGTGATTACAATCATTACTCTGATTATCACTCATTTGGCTCATTGTTTTGCAGAGTAATTTTCCTTCATCTGCTTCAATATAATGTAAACCATTTTAGACTTTAAACACAGTGAAATTTGATTTATATCTTTTGGGCATTTTATCAGTTAAATAAATAAGGCAGCCTAAATAAAATAGAAACAGTTTACAAAGTACCCCATTGTGTTTTTATTTTTATTTGGAAAGGTGTGATAGGAACTATTGTTTGGGTGTAGGGTTTCATTCGACAGTTAACTGAGACGCACAAAGCTTGATTCGAGAAAACGGTGTTGTTTTTGTGGACTAATAGTTTTCATTTCTTTGAATCGTGACTCAGTTGACAAGGTAAGTTTTTATATATATTTTTAAGTTGCGCAAATGATGTAGCCTATTAATTATAAGGGCATTGTTTACGCTAGATAGATGTCAACATGTGGTCGCATAGTCCGACTTGTGGTCGCTGAGCTTAATGATGTTTTAAGACAAAGTCTAAGAACTTTGAGAATCTGTAAAGTGCCTTTGCCATAAATATGATTATGATTATGATTATATGATAATTTTAATAGATCCATGGGCTAAACTTGTTGTGTGAATCACAGTGACAAAGGATCCTCTCACTGCACGTGCAGGTCAAAAACACTTGCATTAAAGTTACTGCTGTCTCTTTGAAGGGCAGAGGCAAAAAATAAAAGGGCACTTATTGCACCACGGGGGGCACTGGCATCAAAGGCCTATGCTATACATTATGTATGAATATGTTAAATTAAAATAACATTATGTAACTTGTGCTCATTTATGTATTCAAATAGTTAGTTTAAAATCACTCAGATCCACAGTCACTGCCTGATTTCTCTACAAGTGAGGTGGGCTTTTATCAAATACCAAACCTGAATTAAAAACTTTTATTTGAGTAAAACATTTATTTAACATAATTTCCTAGTCATGTGACTGTTGTGGAGACTTGTAGGCAGCAGCAGTACCATCTGACTTCATTAGATATGTGACTGCATAAATGAACATTTGATTTTAATGTTATTGTTATTGTTGTATCGTAAATGGAAAGAATAACCTATCAAGGTAGCAATCTCACACAAAACAGCACTATTGCCTATAGTTAAATTGTTTCCCCCAAGTTTTCCCACAATACATTAAATAACTACACTGTGATGTAGACAATTGTGACGTAGACTGTCTTTGCTTGGATCCTATTTTAAATATAAATTATATAATATAGTGAATTGTGAGCTTGAGCAATATTCATTCTTCCATCCATTTTACTTTAAAATTAATAGTTCCTTTTTGTATTGACATACAGTTTCTAGTCATTATTTATTGATGTAGTGGTATAGGGCCAATCAATGGAGCAGTTTCCCAACCTGCATGGGACACCTTCCCTCAGTCCATGAGGAAATCTTTCTAATGGATGGCATAATTTACCAGAAGAGAGCACACAGAAGAAGATATTCTCAAACTAAATATTTGTGACTGATAAAAGAAAGAACTGGAAAGTTTGAGTCATGTAAGATGCAAACTGCAGTGTAATATTGTTGTTCTTGATTAGTTTTATTAGTATATGTTGGATTAAAGAGGTGTACATTTCTGCACATTCTCTGCCTCTGTTCCTAATTCTGATTGTCAAAAAAAACAACCAAAAAACAAAAACAAAAACAAAACAAATACTAATCAGTTATATTTATTTTTGTTGACAATTACACCATATTATTATTATTTTTTTTATTATTATTATCATTGTAGTATGTTAAAACATGTGACTGCCTGGTCTCAAGACAAATTTCTCCGTATCAAGACAATTAAGGATTATCTTATCTTATTTTAGTAACAACAGTTTTATTGAGTATAGTATATAATATAGCATTTTCCTTAGTATTGAAATTGTTTTTGCATTGTTTGTATGGTAACGTCTCTACATCCTAACTGTAAAATATCCAATGGCCCAGCTGTAGGTAAGCGACTCTTGTATCTCTGAGTGTGTCTGATAGTTATTCTGTGCGGAGCATCGGGGCAGTCTTGGTATTCAGGCGCTGTCGTTACCTTGAGGGCCTCAGCTGATGCCTTATACTTTGGGGAATGTGGAAAAAGCCTACTATCAGCTGGCAGTTTGACATTGAACCTGTACTTTTTGAAGATGAAAGATGGCGCCCCCCACACACACATTCAGATCACACTTATTTAACACCCTGAATATATTTTGGAGAACTGGCACTTTCTGTTATTACTAATACATGGGCCGACAACGCATTTCAGTTTGATCTTCAGTGTTGGATTCATCTATAATTGATACAAGAGGCATTTATTCTTTGTTTGTTTAAAGTTAAGAAAATTTCCCATTTTTACTTAAGCGCTACAGGCTCTTTGTCAAACAATATTTAAAGCAACATAGTGTAACTTAGGGTGTAACTCAAGGCTTGTTATCTGCATGATTCCATGTAAATAAAAATTTTAAACCATACTTTAGAAACACTGTGGAGATAGATATGTTTTATGCCCCATTGTGAAATATTATTATAGCTAAAGGAACATTTTTTGAAAGCCCTCCTCTAGGCCAAATAAGTATCAGTTTTGTGGAGATGTAAGTCCACTCAAAGTAAGGGCATATGTTTTTGTACTTTTTTAGTGCAAACAAAACAACCAAAATTTAAAATGTGCTTTTATTTGAGTTTATTTTTGGCAAAAAATGTACATGGTGGGACTTTAAATTTGTAGATTGGATTTGGATTTGAACAACGTTGGAAGTGCCCAGATGATTTGGCCTTTGGCATAAAAATATAATTTCTATAATAAACGTTGACTTTCTCCTTATGACCGCATTATACCTTAGCTTATGTAATAAAGTCAAATCTAAAGTAATTTTCTGTCATCATGGCTATTTAAAGCAAAGTCACTGTGGTTCATATATAGGAGTTTAGAATGTTGCCGTTATACTCAAACTTTTTTTCCACAATATTTTCAGACCCATTTTAGGTGTATACGCTATTTTATCTGTAAAGGCCTGACCTCCTAAGTGACCTGGATGGAGCACAATATTTGATTCATATTGAAAGGGCAGACAGTGTCAAAACCTGGTTAGATCTAATTTTAGAGATAAACTATTGTGGCTCAAATTGCTGTTAAAATGATTGTTGGTTTTGATAAAGGTGTAAAAATCCACATTAAATTAGAGTTATTTGTAGATGGGCCGAATGTCTATGCATGAATTTGTATCAATTCAAAAACAAATTACTGCAACCAGCCAATAAGGAACCTATAGCAAGTCTGCTATAAGGGCCGTGTCAACCGGGGGTCTCAGTAATGGGCACCAATCTTTTACCGGAACTGCAGTTTGTAGCACAGACCAACACAAAAGGGAAGAGGAAACCAAGAGACTAGAGGATCATAACTGTTTATTGAAGGAATACCTTTATCTATCGTCTTTACCAATATTTCATCACACCACTTTAAAGCACTTGTTGACCTTGTGTGTGACCTGAATACAGCTCAGTACTGTAATATAGAAAGGGCTGACAGTTTTACCACTTCATATTGAGAAAAATATATCATATTTCAAACTAGACACGCTACTCCAAATGATAACTATAGCTGGCAACTCATTATAACTAGTACAAAATTAAGCTTTAATGCATGACAAAAGTCAATTCATAATTAAGAAATAGTTTGTGAAGAATGCTTCAGGGTGGAGATTGCTTTACCTGGAATGTTCCACAGTATATAGCATTTAAAGTTTTCTTAAATGTATTCAATTATCAATGATTGGACAGATCTGACCTGTATCTCTGGCAGCGTTACTGCTAACATACTGTAAAACTTTCTGCAAAGCGACAACATCTTTACCAGCTGGTCGTGGACCCCCTTTACACAATGCCTCTTTACATATCAAATGAATGTTTGCTAACTGTGCTTATTGTTTGGTGATGTGTTTTTGGGCAGCTTGAAGTCTGTCTCTCTGGCGTTAGCCTATGGAACTGTCCGTGGTGCTGAAAGCGGCAGTCTCAGTCACTGGCACCAGTCCTTCCTCACTGCATCAGCGCTGTTGGAGGAGGTTAGACAGTTGGCCTTCAAAGACTATTCTAAAGATATGAATGCAATTCTGACATCCAAGTAAGGAATGCATTTGAATGTCCCCATTGTCATGCACAAGGTCTGGAATTTCCTGCTACAACCTGTGTTATATCTTATAATTTATCAGCCCACAATATATGAGTGTTCTGAACAGATTTTTGGCTTCTTATGATTTAGAAAAAACATTTCAATGTGAAGCCTTGAGGCATATTTATTTATTAGGAGGAGGTCCTTGAATTCATGGAAGCTACTTACTGGAGCTTTAAGTATTATTTTTCTTTTTTTAGGTACATACTTTCAAAGAGTAGGTTGGTGCAAAGTTTACACACATTTTATTGACAAAACTGGTCATGGTTGCAAAGAAACATTAGCACAATTGACTCCAGGCTTGATTGTGCTTCTCATTCTTTCCTTTCGGTGTTAAGTTAAACATTAATATCATTGTGAATACGCTTATAACAGTTGTAAAGAGAACAGAGGGTGATAACCTTTTGTTTTGATATCATCCTCCTTTGTAAATAAATATGCATGTTAAGAATTTGCAACTAAAACTTTGCTGGACTGGATTTTGTGACAGATAAAACATGATATTAAACATGCTCTAAAACTTATAAGACGTGGTGCGGACTCCCCTGCTGCCTGTAGGTGCTGGGGACTGCTGTGTTTGCTGCAGATGCATAAATGAGGCGGATTTAGCCAGGGGCCGCCTTGTACCTGATTTCACTGCCTGGCTGACGCTGCGCCTGTAAACAGACTCTCCTTTTAGGCTTGGTTAGGCTTCTGTTTGGTTACTTTGCACTTGAGAGGCAGCTGGTAGGCACCAAGCATCTGGAAACACAGCCCACCACATTGTGCATGTACACGCTCTCCTGTATACATACTGTAATTTATTATGTTCACTGACACAACTCCTTTTCATCAAGTAATTATCTGCACCTAATTTATTTTCCATATAATTGATTGTTGCCCAGATTTCAAGGTGCTATAAGGAAGGAGGAAAATTTATTCATGGCTTTTTTCAATCTCCAAATGGATGACACGGTAATTGCGCTCATACTTTTTACACTCGTCTGCACAGGCAACAGTGTGCAAACAGAAGTCTATCAATCACATCTTAATACCGCTCTGCGCACGCTCCACGGGTTATTAAAATCCTAACATGCTTGGCAACCAAAACAACATCTAATGATCTATCATTTGAAATTGCAGAAAGACAAACAGCACAGACTAACCTTATATGCACTTGGATAGCATGTGCTTAAAATGTATTTTAGTTTGAGAAGAAAACATCAGGTTAAGGCTTTGATTATATTATTTTTTTGTCGTACTGCTGCTATTGTTTTTCATTAAGCATAAATGAAAAAAACAAAACAAAACACATTCGCTAATCATTCAGTTATAAGAATGTGGCAATTAAAAGTCCTTGTACAAAATGCAAAATATGTCTCAAAAGTTAGGACAAAGAAATTCATGTTACAAAAGGTAAACATGATTGTGTAACTATTTCTTCCGATATGCATGCTATTATTGTAAAAGGGCACAGCAAGAATTATCATGACAAAGTGTTGCTCATCATCCTGTTATGACACACTGTATATGACCTCTTAACTACACACAACTAACACATGTATTTCTGCAGTTCCTCTCTACAATAGTAAAGCCATTCTGTTTTTTGAGCTACTGAATGAGGACTTGTGAGACTGTGGATGTGAAGCAAATCTGCATCCAAGACAAAAAGGGGGTCAGTAAATTTAGGTGTAAACAGATGTTCACCATCTTATTCAGACAGTCCTGAGCATGCGTTTCCCGGACGACCACAATACAAAAATGCAGCTTCTCTTTGTCCATCATGTACTGTTCTGTCAAGGTTAAGTATATTATCTACATTATCTACATAAATGTTAAATTAATTCTTTAAAATAGTGGTTACTAATCAGAGTATAGTGGTATTAGTTGTAGTAATAGCACAAATAACATAACATTAGTGGACATTAATGTACTTTGAGTAGCTTATGTTTATTAGCTTGGTCACATTGTTATTGTTATTTACTTATGTCTTCATATTAGGAGCTTTGTTTACATAATAACCTAGATTAAAATTCTGATTTGTTTATTGAAAAATACCATTTATTATCTTTTTGATTTTTAAAAATGTATTTACTCATTACATTTTAATTAGCAGCCAAATGTCAGGAGCCAAATGAAATCTGTCTGTGACACTAAAGCACCAAACACAACAAATGAACATGCCAATCATAGTCATTCTGTTTTCACAATGTTATCATCTTTCACTGGGCAATTTTTTTTTTCACAGCCACGGGGTAAATTATAAACGGTTTATATGATATTTTAAAAGTGACCCTGAGCATGGTAATTGCTTGTGGCATTCATTCTGATCTGTATTGCATATTGGTGTTTTTAAAGGCAGAGCCAAATCTAACCTGACACTGTAGTTATGAATAAGTCAGGAGGCACATTAATATTGTTTTCTGTTTTTCATCACACGTAACACTAACACTAAATGGTGGAGGCTGTGGTGTCAATATCAAGAGAAATTATAATGATATTTTACATAGGTCTTTTTTTATTACAGAAACTAATTGCTTTGACGGAATTGTTGCACAATATAGCTACCTATTTTGCATTTATTCAATTACAGATGTTTTTTTTCTAAAAGAATACCTTGAAAAGCATTCTTACTTTGAGCGCTGTTGCCCCTCCACATGACCGTCAGTAAGATGGCCCAGTGGCATCAACTGCTTATCACCATGGAGAGCAAAGTAATAGCATCTCCCTGGAGACAAGCAGGTGGCAGAGCCTTCATCAAAAATGTTACACAGCACACTTTTAAAGTAAAGGGCTACTCCTGATATTGCAGTATTTGCAACACTATGTCACAAGCCCTCAGAGAAATAATAGGCTATTGAATTGTATAAATTATAAACGTATGCATAACCTACCCTGTTCTGTTCTGGATGCTTGCACAAAAGGAATGGCTCAAGTATTCCCGTAAGCTTGAGTCAGAAAAAAGGTTTAATTTACCTGAATATATCAAAGACTCCAAACCACTAGAACTGGTAGAATGTGGTTTTAGTTGAAAAACAGAGCGTTTTATAAGGTGCAAAAAAGTCTTTGTGGGAAAGCTTTTTGACACCAGTTTTGCACCACACTTTTCCTCAAGCAGCACTTAGTGGTTGTCAGGGACTCTGTACATCTTCAAATACAAACCACTCAGGACACTGAAGTATCTGAAAATTAACATTTAAGAGATTTAAGACGTCAAACATGAGCAGAGGAGCGAAGGAACAAGGACGTTTTTTTTTTACAATACTAAGATGTAAAATCATTTATTATTAATATTTCATAATTAATAATAATTATTAGTTGCATTAGTGAAAGTGAAAGAATGTTTTTTGTCTACATTATATTAAATTTTAAAATACTTATTTTGGGTATTTTTTTTGGTTCTCAGAGATGCAGTATTTGTACAAATTAAAGTCTTGTAGGAGATTAAATCAGCTGCAGCTAACACACTTTTCTATTTTTGCTCTGCTTCAGGATTTGGAACATGCTCGTACAGAAGAATGGAAACGCCAGTTGGACATCACAAATCCACTGTACGTGACCAGCTGGACGACAGAAAGCGGATTCAATAAAAACACCACTGAAGCAGCTTCACGAGGAAATCTGTGAGTAATGTAAATGTTATCTAAACTAAGCAACAAAGAAAATGTTTTTAAAACAATACAAAAAATAAATTGTTACTTAAATAAAAGTATACACTACATAAGTAGTTGGTCTTCCAATACTAAGGCAGTTGCTTCTATTACTTTCTTCTACTAGCTCACAACGTTGAAATTAAATGTTAAATATCTACTTTTTACTACAGCTTTTCTCCATACATTAAATTTTTTTTTTTCCCTCCTAAGGTGTCCAACAATTTTATATACCAATGTAAAGAAAATTTTACTTCATATGCCCTCCTGCATAATTTTTTCTTCAGTTTTTCTAGATTTGGGATCACCACATAAAATGAACTTGATTTCAGTGGGGCAAAATCATACTCAGAAAAGTACGTAGGTAAGAAGTGTGTGCTTTGAAATATCATGTTCAGCTCGCAGTTATTTACTTTCGATCCTGTATTCCCTGTTAGTGCTTGTCACACTGGCTGATGCGAGAGGCCATATCCAGTTATAAAATGACAGAACCTTTTTTTACATGTTCAATTCATATTTCCATTTCTTCTCTTAATCCATATCTTTCCTTTCATTTAACGCCTTAAGCAATCACTGCCAGCTGCCTGAGTGACAGAGGCGAGCTACGCCAAATAACAATGCATTGGTATATGGTCATTTGCATTCTGACAATGGCTGGCGCGCCCTGTCCCTGGCACAGAGCCCCTGTCATATTCGTACCTGGAGTTGGGCCATCAACACACAGAAAAATACAATTCTCCGTGCGCCGTCTGTCCTTTTGTTATTTGTGAGGGGTGCACTTGAAATGGTAAATGCCACATTTAAATTGAAAAAGAACGAGAAAATGGTGGTGGAAAAAAGGAAAAGGAGACATGATGGAGGAGATGACGGTGCCGGAGGGAACAAACATCAGGTTGTGTCTGGCTCGGTGACAGCGTGGATCAGGTGGAGCCGAGCAGGCAGAGCAGTATGATTGGTCTACCTGCAGAGTGAAGGGCATCTGTCTGTCAGGGCTCACTGTATGAAACCCTCTATACCAGGATCAGAGGAGGCCAGAGGACAGGCAGTCTGAACTCAGATCAAGGTTTTGGTTTTTGCAAGATTTCAGTGAAATTACTTTGCTCAGCACACTGTCGTGGAAATCCATCCTTAGCTCTTTCTGTCTTGTCGACATCTAGAGACAAGAACAAATTCAAAGTAAGTACTGAAACAAAAATGGGAATTCTGGCAATGTTTTTGAAAAAAAAAAAGCAAGCAGAATAATTCATTCTAAATCAGAAATCAAGAAGAAAAACAATTAACATGAAGTAAATTGGAGAAAGCTCAGACCCTGTCTGGTCTGTTATTGTGTTCAACAAGCTACTAATACCATCTGTTATTATAAGTTTTATTATTTAAGCATTTATTAGATTTATGTCTTTAAACATAAACAAAATAAACAAAACTTGGCACTATTCAGGCTACTCAGTCCTTGTTTAATGGGGTTCAAACCTACACGTTAATGCGCTATTCACTGAGAACAATGTATTATCATGTTTTCTAAGTTTCACGTTCATTTTTGATGCTCTCCCCTCCGTTTGCTCTCTGCTCCAAGTCCACACCATTCACAGCACAGTGCTATCACAACACAATCAGCGTGCATGCATTTAATGAAACTACTGTACAAACCATTTGTCAAGTTGTTGTGTACAGTTTTGTATCATGCTTTTGTATATTTAGGAAGAATTGTTATATGGGTTCATGGAGGGCATAGACTTGTGGGCTGAGCATTGCTCAAAATCTTACAGCTAACCATAAAGAGAGTTCGAACAGTACATGGGAGAGATGGCTAAATTACTCAGACATACATGAATGACATCTAAAAACTCTTCAAACATGTTTTTGATAAGGGCACAACATGGTTGAATGCTAAAAAGCCCCCTCTTTAATGGTTTGTTAATTTGTTTCCTCATTGGTCTATCCCTGATATCATGTCTTGAGTTTTTACAAACAGGACTATAATAGATATAAATGGATATAAACAAAAGACATCACAGTTATAATGCCATTGACAAAGATGTATCCACCATGGTCTGAAGACACATGTAATGACGTGAATGCAACTTGTTACCAGCCACCTTTTCTTTGACAACATCCCGGGACGTCATTTGTGGACGTTGATGTGGAGGAGCGGTGTGCATCTGTCCAGCCGTCTGCTATCCTCGGGCTGCCTGCCACTCTGCCTGTCTCCTCTCCTCTTGTCCATCTCTCCTGGACGCCAAATCTGTGCGTTTTTCCCAGATGCAGTAAACACACTTATCAGTCCATCTCCTCGTCCATGAAGCCCACCTGCTAGTCCTTCTCCGTGACAGAAGAATAAAGTTGGCCTAGTCACATCCTATACTGTCACTGAATGTGCATACACCGGCCTGTGTGTTCATGTGGAACCTATGGCAGATATAGCTGGGAGATATACAAGGATCAAAGCCCTCCAGAGCCTGCAGGGGATCTCCTTTCTCTCTCTGCTCACTTCACACAACATGACAGTGGCCTTCAAAACAAGCTTCAACACAAACAGCCCTGTGAAAAAAGAAAAAGAGCATAAGAGCATAATGGTATTGAAAGAATGGACATGTTTTTCTCCGTAGATCATTAGGCACATTTGTTTGGTTTTCATGGTGGTTTTTAGTTTGCATGTTGCTTGCATTTTCCCTGTAGTCAAAAGAGACAAGTTGCATCAAATGAAGAGTGTATTTTTTTCTGCAATATGTGACCAAAAGGTGGTGAAATTTCGTCTTCTTTCTTCTTTCAAATCTCATAATTTTCAGTGTTTTCTCAGTGGATTGTTGATTTGTGTTTAACAATTTTTTATTTTACTTCTTGCACATTTCTTCATCAATCTTCTGGTTACTCCCATCAGGGGTCGCAGGTGGCTGGAGTCTGTCCCAGAAACTATGAGCCCCAGGCACAGAACACTCTCGTCAATGGCAAGTTACTTTTTCCTTACCTTTAACTCTTACAGTGGCACGTTTAATTTATATACACAACAAAAATGCTAAACCAACTAACAGGCACTAATTGAACCTTCAGTATGGTAGGAATACGTAGAAAGCTGCAACCCAATTATATGCACATAAATGATTATTTTAACCTATATTTTACCATGAAATCCCTTGAGAGAAATCTCTTTTTTGAGGGAGACCTAGATTTTTATAGTAATTAAGTAATTAATAACATTAGGCTTACATTTTTCGAAGCACTTAATCTCTTTATCTTTTTATATATTACTAATTCATCCTGCCCTGGGGTAGACGCAAGCGAGAGTGCCAATATGTGCCACCAGTCCCTCCAACCACCAACTTTCGCTCCCATCAGAAACTCACCATTTTCATACTAGAGGCAAAGTGTTTTGCCCAAGGGCACAACAAAAGTATGCTCTAACCTGGGATATGGATAGGACATTTAAGTATTTAAATTTGTGTTGTTCAGTTTTAGGCCCTGACTCTCATTTCTCATTTGAGAACCCTAAAGCATGAGCTTGAGGAGATTAATTGAGCCCTGTGAGGCCATGTAAACCTGCTATGTATTTTCATATTCAAAGCAAAAGTATGTGATTTAGAGTTCCAAATAATATTACAGTGGATTTTATTGCCTGGGACTTTGGGATAATGGAGTATCTGGGGTAGTGTCTTGTCAAGAAAATTCATTTCTCTCAAACTTCTGTGACTTTGGCTTTTCTTTGACAGATTTGTTCAATTTTATTAAGTGCCAGATCTTCAGAGACAAAGCTTCAAATACAACTATGACTTTGTGTTCATTTATAAATACAAAACATGACCTTCAAGGCTGACAAACAGTATACCCACTACTGCAGTACTACTTCAAATCTGAGATAGATCCGGCAATATGTGGGATGTTGCTGTTTCCAAATGTCATTTCTTTTGTAGCTGTGAATGCCAAAGCAACTTCTACTCTCCCCTCTCTTCAAAACTGATATCACAAACAGTTATATTTGAAAAAGTTCAACAGTAAAATATACTCCAAATACTTCCAGAATTGACCAGAGAGCTTGGCTGAATTTTGACTTGTGGAAAACATGTTCATCCCCTCCAGCTCTCGAGGCACAAGTTGTCTTTTCACGCTGCCTTTAAATGGCCCAAAGCATATTTTCCGGTGGTGTACTATACATGTGGTCTGCCTGTGCCTCTACTGCCTCGCCAACTCTCCTTTTTTTGCCAAACACATGTATGGCAAGGACAGCTCCGCAGGCTGCAACACACTGTGCCACATCCAATGGTGTCCACTCTCTGGCCTGAGAAAAGAGCCCCCAGACCAGCAGTAAGGTAGGCACGGGCTTCATTTTGCACATGGTGATCCAAATGTAGCAAGAAAACAATGCGTACTGCGTTTCTGTACTTTAGTCTGTGCATGCAGTCTTGTGCCAAACCTCTCCCAAGTGGATAAAATAAGTCTTTTTTATTCTTTGTTAGATATTGGCACTGTGTTGCTTGGTTATAATAGAGTTGAAGCAGTCCTCTTCTTTGACTATTCTAATGGGCTCATGTGTGTCTTCCTCCCTTCCTGCCTTTCTTGTCTTCAAAGGATTTTTGCACAGGCAATCTACAAGTCCACTGTACAACCTGAAAGAAGGGACTTCCAGCAATTACATTGGCTGAGATGAATATAGAAATGTAATGAAACATGCCTATGTGTATGTGGAGGTTAACATGACAAAGTGTAATTTGTTCTTAACTGATAAGAAAGGAGGTAATAGCTTTTTGAAATGATGTCCAAGGCAGAAATGATGAACAAGAATATAATAATGTAATCTTTAGTCTATGATCAGCTGGTGGGTCTGAAATGATAAAGAGGATATTAATCTTAAAAGAGATCTACTGTGAACCCAATTACTGTTAGAAGCAAACATATGCCAAATGCCATCTACAGGTAAGGTAACTAAGTGAAGTCTTGTTCTCTTCAGGAAAATATCTAGTCTGCATGTAAATGTCTCTATA